ATTTAAATTTATTTCTAAAAGTTTCCCTCAAAAAATGTGTGCAAGGATTTTTGTACAAAAATGTAAAACATAGGCTATTTTACAATAGAAAATCTTTTAAATGTTAAGCTTGAGGGCTGATGTCATGGAGATACACAGGACTTTTATTTTTTGAGTTGGAGTCTCACTCTGTCGCCCAGGCTGGAGAGCCGTGGCACACTCACGGCCACCCCAGCATCAACCTGCTGGGTTTCGGCAATCCTTCTGCTCAACTTTCCAAGTAGCCAGAACTACAGGCGAGCACTACCATGCCCGGCCATTTTTTGATTTATTGTAGACACAAGGTCTCGCCAAGCTGCCCAGGCTGGTCTTGAACTCACGAGCTCAGGCAATCCACCTGCCTCGGCCTCCCAAAGTGCTGGGATGCCAGGCTGACACAGGACTTTTTTGTGTGGGCCTGAAGTTAGGATGCATCCTCGATTTCTTCTTCCCTGCACAACTGTATCCAACGCACCAGGAAGTCCAGTCATCTAGGGATGCTCCTCCTAGCCCATGGCTATCATCTCGGCCACCAGGATCGTCTGGGTAGTGTCAGTAGGTCCCCTCAGGCACTCCTTCCTTCTTTATCTGCTATGTACTTCTGGCTGGACACACAGCCTCCTGGAACAGAGCCCACCTTCCCAGCCTCCCTTGCCTCTAGATGTGGCTACTGGTTGACCTCTTAGGCTGATAAGGTGGGGGCAGGGGGTACTTAGGATGAAGGGGAACCCTTGCTTCCTTTACTTGTTCCTGCTGGATACAATGTGGATGTCACTGCTATGAAGGTCGGGTCATGGGAATGAGGCCAGTATCCTTGGGGTCACTCCCCACAGGGTAGAGGGAGGCCACGTTCTCTCCCCTGGAACTACCTGATAAGCCTCAGGCAGCTCACATTCAGGACAAGTACACATCCAGCTCTGCAGGCTGGCAGTGTTCTAAGGTCTTTTTTTCAGCAGCCAAAATACAGTCCCCTGACTCTCTCTAATGCCATCTTGGCCTCCTAAATTCATTCTCTATATACCGCCAGACAGATCTTCTGAAAACATCAATCGTTCACATGACTCCCCTGCCGACCGCCTCACGGCGGCTTCCCCAGCATGAAACAATCTGACTCCTCATGGGGGCTTTGAGCCCCCTGTGACTCTGATCTTAACTCACTCACCACGGTCCAGGTGGGCAGGCTTCCCCTCTGTGGCTTTCATATATCAGGGATTCGTATCATCCATCCATCGATCCATGGATGCAAGGATACCAGACTCCCTTCGAATATCTCTCAGTAAACATAGAAGAAACAAAACCAAAGTCATCTAATGACGGTAACCCCCACTCCATCCCCATGGCAACATTCTCCTACCAACCAAGCCAGTGTGAGAATAAGGCAGGTTTCCCTGAAAGCAGACTCTGAAAGCTCCCAGTACAAAGATGGATGAGTCGGGACTCTCTGATTCTTCCCTGTTGAAGCCAGAGGGAGCGGCTCAGAGAGTGTTGCTGAAAACTCACCAGACCAGGTGTTTCAATGTGATGCATTCCACTCAGTTCAAGAATCAGAGACCCTCAGCTTGAGTGGAGTAACGCAGGATCAGAAAACCACCACAGAGCCTCGCTTACGAGTAGGAGTTGAGCTGAGGGTCTGCAGAGGCAGAGAGGATGGTGCCATGGGCACTGGAGACTCAGGTGGAGGAGGGGGAAGGGGGAGGAATGGAATATCACCTCTCGGGTACCATATGCACGGGCTGAGTGTTGAGTGCACTAAAGTCCAGATGTCTTCACTGCTGTACAATATGTCCATGTGACCAAACACCGTGTGTACCCCTCAAGCTATCTTAAAACAGTTTAAAAGGAGGCAGTGAGCGTTTACATGCTACCTAGGCTTCTTCTTTAATGTGAAAGAGGAGGGTTGTGAACATGCTCCTTTCCTGAATGACTTTAAAATGTTATTGCTGGGGTATGGTGTACAACTTGCACTCAGCAACTCAGCATAGTAATAGCTAACATTGTGTGTTTGCTCTAGGCTGGGTACTCTAATAAGTACCTTTGAGTTACTCTTTCATTCTTAAAACAACCCCATGAGCAGTCATTATTTCTTTCCCCCCTTGACAGATAAGGAAACTGAGGCACAAAGAAATTAAGTACAGTGACATAATTAGTAAGTGGAGACTATGAGGTGGTGACATTCTTTTTCATAAAGACCAGTGAAGAGCAGAAGACAGACACTCCAGCACCAAGACAAGGGACTTCTCTGTACCTCAGTTTCCTCATGTGGAAATAAAGGAGAATGGTTACAGATACTGTTCACTACCTTGCAATACCTGCCCTACGCTTGTTTCCTTATAAAGAAAAAGAGACTGGCCCTGTTGGGTCTTCTATGCCTTTTCCTTTTCCTGGTCTGCGAAATAGAGCTGTGGTGGCTGGCATTCTAGCACCCATCTTAAACCATGAGGCCATTATGAAGACAGACTCCATGCTCTTGACTGCTGGAGCAGAAATAAAGATGGGATCTGGGTCTCAGATGTCATGGAACACCAAACCAGCCCTAGACCACCAATAGGATCCTCCTTACATGAGAGAAGGCACCCATTTGTAGTTAAGCCACCACTGGCTGAAGGGGTATAGGGTACATGCATGGGAAGCTCTGTTGCTTTCTTTCTTTTTTTTTTTTTTTTTTTGAGTGGGAGTCTCACTCTGTCGCCCAGACTGGAGTGCAGTGGCTGCTCCCGGCCACCACAGCCTCCACCTGCTGCACTCCGGCGATCCTTCCGCCTCAGCCTTCTGAGTAGCCGGAATTACAGGTGCATGCTACCACACCCAGCTAATTTTTTAATTTATTGTAGAGATGAGGTCTCACCAAGTTGCCCGGACGGTCTCAAACCCGCGGGCTCAGGCAATCCACTCACCTCAGCCTCCCAAGGCACGGGATTACAGGCTGAGCCACCGAGCCCGGCTGCTCTGTTGCTTTCAATGCCAACTGGTACATGGGACAATGGGGTCTTAGCTGAGATTTTTTCTAGCTCTGCCATCACACAATCTTGTAGCACTGCACGTAGCATAGCAAGAAAGGGAGCCATAGGCTGAGGGGAGTTTCAGAGGTCACTAGAGGATTAGGACAGGGCTCTTGGGAGAGGGGAAGCCTTGCAGGTTGTGGACAGCAACAGGGTTTGGGACAGGAAAGGGCATCGGGGGCATTCTAAGCAGGAGAACCGCTAGGTGTGGGTCATGAGGAGACCGGCCTTGACTGAGCCAGGCGGTGAGCCTGCTCGGAGAGTGTTGCCAAAAGTCATGAGACCAAAGAGCGGAAGGGCTAATTCCCATAAGAAGGTATTCAAGACTGACGCCATGGCCACTCCCCATCATAGAGCCACCCATGGCCCAGAGGCAGCAGCTTGACTGTCCCACATGAGGCAGTAACTGGTGGAGGCTCAGTGTCTTTAAAATAAAAAAAAGTAGCTAATAGGAGCCCTTGTCAACCACAGTCAACCACAGCCACCCCGCCCCTCAGCCGCCTTCACATTTCCTGGTGGCCACATGTGAACCAACTTAGTGGTACCAGGCCACCGTCCCCGACGCCTTTGACTGAAAGGTTGATTTCTGGTGTTCTCCCAGCACCACATGAAAACACCAGTCAATGTCTTCTCGTGGATGGTCTGGGGGTCGCAGGCAGCCAATGGAGTGGTTTACTTTACTTCTGAAAATCATACTTTACTTCTGAAAATCAAAGTAATTTTGTAACAGGGGGAAGCTCAGATTATTGTCAGCAGAAGACTGTGCCCAAGTGTTTGTGTTGTGAAAACACAAACTAAACTCTCCCTTTGTAGGGGTCCCAGGAGCATGCAGGGCAAGGAAGGGCTCTGTAGGAGTCCGTGTGTTTTGTTGTGAACGCAGGTGACGGGTCCCTCCACAGACAACGTAGAGAGTGTGTCTACCAGACACTGGGGCCTGGCCCACCTCTGTCCCACAAATCCTAGGAAGCCCATGGTCAGACTCAGTTCTAAGTCCTGTAGGTTATAAGTTACAGATAACCTATGAAGGGATAAAGTGAACTCTCCCAGATGTGCTTCACATTTGAAACACAGTTGCCAACACGAGCACGGTGATGTTTCACATTAAAGCTGGATTTGCAGCTTCTCTTGCAAAATCAGAAGATCTTAAAATTTCAAAATCTGCCTCAGTTTCCCTGCATGGCAAACACCGGCTGAGGTCTTTAGACTGGGCAGGTGTTTGCCAAGCCTGTCACCACATTTTACTCAGATATTCAGTCTACATGGTCTCTACAGTCATGCGTGTTTGAGATCCCTTAAATTGTCTGCTTTGTAGATACAGACGCATTTACTAAATCAGCAACACTTTTACATCATGGCAGGCCCAAATCTAATACCTGGAGTTTGACTATTTTCTAAATAATGGTCTGATATATATTTTGAATAGAGTTTTAAAAATTATATTATAACATATATGGTATATACAGAGGCTGCCAAAAAAATGTCTACACATCTTAAGAAAGAAAAAAACTGTATTAAAATGGTAATACCAATAACAAAAGATGAATACAAGTCACTTTTGACTTCTTCAATTACAAGAGGTGCTCAAAGTGGCTTCCATCAGTGTCCAGACACTTGAAAAGTACGTCAAAAAGTAATACATAGATAATACATCTTAAAATGCATATGCATTTTTTAGGCACCCCAGTATATTAGAATCGACTGTTGGCCAAAAAAGAAAACGCATGGGTCAGTTTCTGTCTCCCTACCCTGGCTCTTGGGGTGTTTAGTTTGTTTTTAGAGACGCGGTCTCGCTACTGGTCTCCAGCTCCAGGGCTCAAGCAATCCTCTTGCCTCGGCCTCCCGAAGTGCTGTGGTTACAGGTACAAGCCACCGCAGCTGGCCCAAGTTTCTTGGCTTTTTGTCTGTTCTGCACTTGGCCTGGGTCCCAGTGCCCTCCCTTCCCCTGGGGTCTGCCTCCCTTCCCTGAGGCGGGGGCTTCCTTACCATGGCCAGTGGTATGACTGCAATCAAGTCCTTCTGGCTCACGTAGATCTTGGACACTCCCAAGTCCGATGTGATCTCTCCTGGGTATTCCACTTGCCACGTGACCAGTTGTGTGGCTGGCAGGTCGCTGGGCTCTTCCACTTGCACGTCAACCTGCATGACTTCATAGGAGGCGCCGTCAGCACTGGAGAGGAGACAGAGGGGAGGACTCGGTGAGGTCCTGGGCATCACATGCCAAGCAGAAAATATGCGTGTGTCTCCGTGTACACATGCCATCCCCATGAAAAGCATTCAGAGATTCTGTTCCCAAAGGAGCACACCAGCCTTAAGGTGCTTGGCAGCGTCTGCCTGGGCTAGGGCTCCATCCCTTGAGGTGATGGTCTGTGGACCACTCCACTGCCCAGAGCAGCATTTGTGAATAATTATGGGAAGCAGTATTTGCATTTCTAAATGCTTCCTTCGCCATTCCCAATCCAGAAACATTCTTTCCCTCCCTCTCAGAAATGTCTAGGTGACTTATATTGGATTCTGCAAAGCCACAGCCAGTCCCAGTCAGGTTTGGAGAGCTTTAAGGGCATCTGAGGGTGATGTGGTTTTGTGATCTGGTGGAGGCGAGACAGCATTGCAGATAGGCAGGCTAGGCATGGAAGGGAGAGCAGGGCCAAGGGGTCCCTGTTGATGCGTGAGGAGAAATCGCCAGATGTTACTCGGAGACAGGAGTAATTGTGACAAATACTCGCTTTTAGACGCCCACTCTCCTCCAGGCATGCCTCTGGAAACAAATCCGAGTTGGCTTTGCAGGATTGTTTCTGCAGCTATTTAAGCGAGTTAGTGAGCTTGCTGCCTCCTCATAGTCAGTTCTTATATAATACCTGTTTTTCTATGTGCCAAGTAGGAAAAGGTATGGGGTCCACCAGTCCCCGAAGAGGAAATAAAGAGCGTGTCGGTGAAAATCAGCGGAGGAGGCAGCTAGGAAAGTCACTGCTCACACCTCAGTGGCCCGAGAAGTTTCTACCTACCAGACCCATTTATAAAGATTCACATATTAATTCTCTGCAGAATGATCACCGAACTCCAAAGTTCAGGAGTATACCCTTTAACATGTGCCCTTAATATTGTAAAAATAATAAGAGACTAATATATATAGGAACATGTAGAATATTACTACTCATAATAGAGTATAACAACAATCGAATAGTAACCCTTTAATATGTGATAACACTACTGGGATGACTTTATCAAGCCACCAGACTCATGCCAATATCTCAGTAAGAAGCTCAGAGATAAACTGGGGGCTTCCAGGGAGCATCTCTCGATGTGAGGGATGAGCCAAAATACTGGAATGTCAGGTAAGACTCTAATGAAAGGAGAGAGGAAGGAGGGAGGGAGAGGGAGGAAGAGAATGGAGGGAATAAGAGAGAGAGTGAAGGAGGAAAGGAGAGAAGGAGAGAGAGAAAGAAAGAGGAAGGGGGAGAGAGAGCAAGATTAAGGAAGAAGGGGAGGAAGAGAAGAATACAGTGAAAGAAGGAGAAAAAGAGGGAGGGAGGGAGGGAAGGGGAGAGAAAAAAGGAGGAAGAGAGGGAGGGAGAGAAGGAGAGAGATAAGAAAGAAGGATGAATGAGTGAAGGGGGGAGGGAGAGAAGACAGCGAAAGAGGGAGGAAGAGGCGGAGGAAGGAGAGAGAGAACGTTGCATCTGACCTATTGAGAAGCCCACAAGAGCTAAGGAATCTTTCAAGGAAAACACACACATAGGCTCGGTGGCTCAGCCTGTCATCCCGCGCATTTGGGAGGCTGAGATGAGTGGATGGCCTGAGCCCAAGGGTTCCAGACCCGCCTGGGCAACTTGGCGAGACCTCATCTCTACAATAAATCAAAATGAGCCGGGGGTGGTAGCACGCGCCTGTCGTTCCAGCTACTCGGAAGGCTGAGGCGGAAGGATCGCCGGAGCCCAGCTGCACTCCAGTCTGGGTGACAGAGTGAGACTCCGACTCAAAAAAACAAACAAACAAACAAAAAACCACACACACAACGTTTTCCATGCAAGTTCAAGGTACACAACCTTCCTGAAGGTTGATATGGTCATCAGATTAAGAATTCCCAACTTAGAGTCTTTTCATCACGACTTCAAAGAGAGGACAGTCAGTTCAAAAGAGACCTTGTTGTTTTTTAGATCTTGGCCAGGAAAGGGGTCTAAGGGAAAAGGGAAAATCTAATTTTATACAACAACCATATTAGGTAAAAGAAAGGGCAGTATCAGATGAAGTAAATAGAGCAGTTAGTAAATGCTTGCTGGTAGTCGCCAGGGGCAGTGGCTCACTTTTGTAATCCCAGCACTTTGGGAGGCCAAGGTGAGTAGATTGCTTGAGCCCAGGAGTCAGAGACCAGCCTGGGCAACATAATGAAACCTCATCTCTACAAAAAGTCAAAAAATTAACCTGGTGTGGTGGTGCACGCCTGTAGTCCCAGCTGCTCGGAAGGTTGAGGCGGAAGGACCTTCTGAGCCCAGGAGGTCGAGGCTATGGTGAGCAGTGATTGTGCCACTGCACTCCAGCCAGGGTGACAGTGAGATACCGACTTAAAAAATAGTAATAAAAAAAAAAATAATTTTAACAAATAAATAAATAAATGATGGAGTGGTGTTAAGATGTGTCTTGTTGAGTGGGAAAAACTTAAACATATGATGTTTAAAAGGTATTTCGGATAAAGTGCACTCTAAAATCAAAAGCATGGGACTGTAGGGCAGGAGAAGTTGAGTATTCCAGTGGAAGCAGAGATAGTTCGGTTTTGTTTTGTTTTTTGTTTTTTGGGGTTTTTTTTTTTTGAGTTGGAGTCTCACTCAGTCGCCCAGACTGGAGTGCA